AAAGAAAGAAAGAAAGAAAGAAAGAAAGAAAGAAAGAAAGAAAGAAAAAATTAAATTTTACATGAATTATAAAACATAATAATTATTTTCTTGTCACATCAAAACCCAACTCAGGGCAAAATTGAAAAATAGTGAGTTTGTCTTGGTACTTCCTATCCAGCTAGTCCTCCTTTTCACATGAAAAGTGAGACCCCTCTTTCTCCTCCCCATGCCTTCCCCAGAGCTGGACCAAGTAGGGCCGGTGAACCCCAGTCTCCTCTCTGGAGCTCTGCTGTCACTATGATGTGGGACTTTCACTACACTGCCCCAGGTCCTCCGTGGCAGCCTCCTTCCACTTGGTGTAGACTCCCCAGACTTTCCTAGACAACCTAGACAAGCAGCCCCTGGGCCTGATAAAGGGCTCGGGTGAGTGGGGAGAGGCCTGGGGACCACAGCCTGTACCCCTCCCTTTCAGAACCAGATGTATGTGTTTGAGGGGAGATTCTGAGCACAAGTGGAAAGGGGGCAGCATGGGAGCCAGCTCTTGGGAAAGGCATTTGAGGCAATTAAGGTTTTGTGTTGCTGCTGAATCACAGCACACAACAGCTCTCTTCCTGGCCAGCCCATCCTGGGGACAGGGGCACAGGAGATCAAGTAACCCTGATCCGACACTCTCTTCTAAAAGAAGGTCTAAATGGGAGCACAGTATGGAGCTGAGCACCCAGTGACCCGGGATTTGATCCACTCAACTGGTGGGTGATTATTGCCTTTTTGAGTTGTCCATTCTCAAAGTCATGTTGATACTTCTGTAGACTGATCAAGTGTTCTTGAAAGTGTAAATATTTTTAAAGGGGGAAGCAAGAAAATCTGTTTTATTTTCCACATTGCCATCCTTATATCAGTTTTATTTACAAATTCATAAACTTCTTTGAAACCAACCCCTTCTCTATTTATGACTTGCAAAAATGGTTATCTAAGACCGTGATACTGGAATTATAATATTTTTGACCCCATCACAGTTATTTTTCAATTCTTTTTGGGAAGCAGCAAAAGGCCTGCCTCTAAGTAGAAGATGCTTTTAGCTAGTAAAAGCCAGAGAAATCCCAGAGGGTGAAAAAGAAAGACAAAAGCCATCCAATCTATCGTGGGACAAATTCTTCTGAAAGTCCCAGAGATTTTCAAAAGTCGGTTATTGGCTCTGTGGAATAAAGCAGGTTGCTCTGTGGACCTTCATATTCTTTGGTTTGGTCCTGAGGTAGAGAAGATGAGCCCACTCCTCTGGGGACTCTGCTTTGGAAAGCATGATGTGTTGCAGAGAGCAGAAAAAAATCTAGGAGCATCCTGTTCATCATCCATCAGTGAAGGATGCTCTCCCAATTAATCTGTGAGTGCTTGGTCAACAGTAAAACCTGCTTACTGAGAGGGAATTCTGTGAAGGTCTCCATTAACTCAAAAGGAGAATTCTTGAGGTTGAAGATACACATGGCATAGAGATCAGCCATGTCCTGACATAATATAACTTGAGTTCACCCACCTTCCAGGTTTCTGACAGTGATGACTCACACACTCAGCTTCAGTCTGTGTAAATTTTTTACTGAACAATTGCATTGGGAGGGAAGTCATATTATAAGATCATAAAACTAACATCGTAAGATTTTCAGGTTGAAAGGGACATTATGGATAGGTGATTCTCTTGGCCCCTTCTGAAACCAAGTGAAACAGAATTTGTGAGGGATAAACCCAGGTCCGAGGGCTACATTTTCAAAGAGCCACTGGGCTATTCTGATGAACACTGAAGGTTGAGAACCACTGTTACTGATTATTAATCACATGCTATTCAGAGGATGGTCCTGAACTAGCAGCACCGGCTTCATCTCAGAGCTGGTTAGAGATGCAAAATCTCAGGCACCCTAGACCTAGAGAAGCAGAACCTACATTTGAACAAGATTTCCAGGTAATTTATGTTAGTTCAAGAAGCAATGACTGAGTCCAATACATATTAGAAACACCTGGCAAGCTTTTATGAACTCAAGACTGGAGTCCCACAACAGATCAATTAAATCAGAATCTTTGGTCATGAGCCTTATACTTGGGAATCATTTTAATTGTCCCTAGTGATTCAAATATGCAACCAGGACTCAGAACTACTGACCTCCTGTTTTATAGTAAAGGAGGTTTTAGCATATCATGCAGCTATTCTTGCCTGAGGATCTTTCTCCATCTAGGTCCTTCCCTTAAATAAATCTACAGCATTGGAAAGGTGCAAATGGACTTTTTTAAAAAAAGGACTGGGCTATGTATGGGTGCTACCCTTTGCATATTCATTGTATCCATTAATCCTCAAAGAAACTTTGGGAAAGAGGAATTGTGATGCTTATTTCATGGATTAGAAAAGACTACACATTTAGAAAGCAGCATGGCCAGGATTTGAATTCAAGTATTTCTGACTCCAACAACCCCACAGGTAGTAAAGGAAACATTCATAATCAAATCACACTTCCGGATATGGTGA